CTTTTCTTTTCCTTTTTTTTTTTTTTTTTTGGTCTTTTTGAGACAGGGTCTCCCTGTAGCCCCAGCTGTCCTGGAACTCACTATGTAGACCAGGCTAGCCTTGAACTCACAGAGATCCACCTACCTCTGCCTCCCAAGTGCTGGGGTTAAAGGCATGCACCACCCCACCCGGCTACTTTTCATTTTTAAAGTGTCTTCTGAAGAGGAAGTTTTTCATTTTTGATGAAGCTTATCATGTTTTAAAAATGGTTTGTTGGACTACACGGAGACCTTGTCTCAAAAAGACCAAAAAAAAAAAAGACAGTTTGTGGACCAACAAGATGGCTCAATGGATAAAGGTATTTGCCGCCAAGTGTGACAGCTTGAGTTGGATCCCTGGAACCCACATTGTAGTAGGAGAGAACGGGTTCTCACAAATTGTCTTCTGAACTCCACACATGTACCCAAACAACGCCAACCATAAGTAAGTAAATAAATAAATAAAAATTTAAGAATAGAAAATAAAAATGGTCTGTGCTGTTTGTATACCATCTTTAAAAATCTTTGTTTAGTTGGGCGTGTTGGCACATACCTTTGATCCCAGCACTTTGGAGGCAGAGACAGGCAGATCTCTGTGAGTTCAAGGCCAGCCTGGTCTACATAGTGAGTTCTAGGCCAACTGGGGCTACAAGGAGACCCTGTTTCAAAAAGAACCCCCCGGCAAAAAAAAAATCTTTGTTTAGCCAAAGTCAAACATTTCTATGTTTTCTTCTAGAAATGTATTGCTTTAGTTTTTATATTTAGGTCTATTATCCATTTGGGATTAATGTTTGTATACTGTGTAAAGTGAGGCTTGAACCCTGAATCAACTGACATTAATTTACAGGATTTGTTTATAGAATCTCTTTTCTGCCCCCACTGATCTATATATTTATTCTTTCTGTTCATGACCTTGGCCTCCAACTGTGCTTTTACTTTTCAAAATTATTTGGTTAGTCTAGATCCTTCACATTTCTACAAACTTTATTTTATTTATTTAATTTATTGGGGGGGGGTCTTTTTGAGACAGGGTCTCCCAGTAGCCCCAGCTGGCCTGGAACTCACTATGTAGACCAGGCTGGCCTCAAACTCACAGAGATCTACCTGCCTCTGCCTCCTGAGTGCTGGGATTAAAGGCATGCACCACCATTCCTGGCTTTCATACAAATTTTATAACTACTGATTGCTTAGTTTAAAAATGCTGCTAAGGTTCTGGACTCTATAATCAACTAATTTGTGAACTCTTGACATTAACATCGAATTTTTCAATCTACGAAGATTGAAGATTTTCTCTTTCCCCTCTCTCACTTTTGTCTAAATATTGTATAGTACTAGGCTATAGGCATTAACATTATTTTTTCAAACAGACCCTTAAAGACTCTTACATTTTTCATAGATTTGTTTCTATTTATAGCTAGTGCTGTATTTCATGTTAATTTCAAAGAGTTTCTTGCTAATAAATAGAAATATAATAGCTTTCTGGATCTTAATCTTTTAAGCTTTTAACCTTGGTGAATTTAGTTATTAGCTCTTTTTGTAGATTCCTGAAGATTTTCCATATACAAATGCATGCTATCTGAATTAAAGTTTACATATTCATTTTAAATATATGGTTTTACTTTATTGTTTGGGGAAGAACTTAGAGGCCAACAATGAACAAAAGAGCTTGTAAAGGGGAGGAGGGGAAGTGTATAAGTACAGCAGGGACAAGAAAATATGACAAACAGGCATGAAAACTTATTACTCTGTATGCTAATCTAAAAAATAAAATAAAATAAAAATAACTTTAGAAGGCATAAAAAATTGGTGAAAAGCATTTAGTCTTACATAATCTGAATTATAGGTTTCCTATGTATTTGCTTTATGGAGATAACCAAGTTTCCATCAGTTTCTAATGAATAAAAGATAACTTTTTAAAAATTATTTATTTTTATTTTATGTCTATGAGTATTTTTGTCGGCATGTACGCAAGTAAATCACATGCATGTAATGCTCGTGGAGGCAGAAAATGATGCTGGATATCCTGGAACTGATATTATTGACGGTTGTTAGCTGCCACCATATGGATGTTGGAAACTGAATCCTGGTCCTCTGTAAGAGCAATCAGGGCTCTTACCTGCTGCTGAGCCATCTCTCCAGCCCTCACAAAAAGATAACTTTAGGGGGCTGCAGAGATATCTCAACAGTTAAGAACACTGACTGTTTTTGCAGAAGACCTGGGTTCGAATCCCAGCACTTACACAGCAGCTAACAACTGTCCGTAACTCCAATTCCAGGGGATCTGACGGCCTCATCTGTCTTCTGTGGGCATTGCATGACACGGGTACACCTACATACATTGCAGGCAATACACGCATACACATAAAATTAAAATAATATTAAAAAAGAGATACGTTTATTCATGAATATTGAATTTCATCTAACATTTTTCTTGCATCTACTGAGACATGTATTTCCTTGTTTAATATGCTAATATTATAGATTACACAGACTTTTGGACCTTTTTGGGGTTTGTTTTTTTTTTTGGTCTTTTTTTGACACAGGGTCTCCCTGTAGCCCCAGCTGGCCTGGAACTCACTTTGTAGGCCAGGCTGGCCTGGAACTCACAGAGATCTGCCTGCCTCTGCCTCCCTAGTGCTGGGATTAAAGGCGTGCACCACCACGCCCGGCACTTTTGGACCTTTGTAAACCCTTGGTCATGATTTTTATTTACCATTTTTGTGATATGCTAAAAACTTTAATATTAGTTATTATTCTTATATTAGAACCTGAGGCTAGACAGGTCACAAGGCCACAGGAGAGAACATACTACTATCATTCTGTTAAACAGACATTATTAAAATGACTCAGAATGACTTACTGTTCTATCCATAGATCACTGTATCACTCAGCTCTCACCAGAGAAGGTTCTTCTTAGAGCTGATAATACAGAGACCCACAACTGGTCAATGTGCAGTGAACAATACAATGAAGAATGGTCAGCCCTAAATGGGATACCTATATGGCACCCTCTCTTCCCAAGGCCCAGCTATCATTTCAGAAGACTGTAAGGGTCAGAGGTGGTAGAGAAATACAAGGAAACTGGACACCAATGAGTAGTTGCACATATGACCCCACAATACGTATGACAACATACACAAGACCTGTGCCAACCCAAGCCAGATAGGGGCCCACAATGAATGGGAGAGCTGGGCAGGAAGTCCTACCACCCTAGCCCTAGCTGAGGATTTACTGGCAACTGATAGATACTGGGAAAGGCAGTCAGTTTTCCTTACTAGTGTGACATCTGGTACACTGACCTAACTCCAAGGGATGGACACATTCCCAAAAGCATTTAGGAAAACTTCAAAGACCTTTGGAAAAAAAAAAAAAGTTAAATAGTAATAGAGGACATGAAGTCAAGGGGAAGGGGTCTGAATACAATAAAAATACATTGTATCAATAAAAATATTTTTAAAAAGAAAAATTCAATTAAGTATATAAATTTAGTTTCCAATTAAAAAGTTTACATTTTTACTTTTACTACTTTACTTCTTTCTATTGTAGCTAATTTTTTTTAATGTGATACATAGACACACTCAGTATCACAAAAGCAACAAAGTAGCAAAACAAAAAATAATGGGTATGTGTATGGTGGCACAGAGCTGCAATGCTAGTATTCAAGAGATTGAGGCAGGGACATTGCTGTAAAATCAGGGTCAGTTTTGGCTGTAGCATGAGGAAACCCTGTCTTGGAAAGGGAAAAGAAGGGAAAAAAGGGAAGATAGGGAAAGGGAAAGGAAAGAGAACTGCAGATTAAGAAAGGATACAGTCCAATTTTTGTTACCCTACTTAAAAGAATTATACCCCGCCCATACCTCTATACTCATAAGCACCTGCCTTTGTCTACCTTTTTGGTTAATTCATTAGGTTGTCAAGTACAGAGACAAACAAACAAAAACACTTATGAAATTGTCCTACTATTCTTATCCTATTATTTCAGTAGGATTTTAGAAATCAGTAATAATTTTATACTTAAATTTTTCCCAATTCGAAGAGATGAAGATGGCAGCTCAATGGCAGCTCACTTGCACAGCATGTACAAGGCCCTGGGCTTACTTCATCACTAAGAAGCCAGACAAAAACAACAAATAAACAAAAACTGTCCCAAATAAAAATCTGGTACAACATTCTAAGATAAAATTAACTTATTTTCTTTTTTGAAGAAAAACATGAAAGAGCATAGAATTACCAATTTTAGGTAATTAAAATTCTAATGTGACATTTCAAAGCATAGAAATGATTCAAAAAATTATGATGTAAAAATTACTATTCTTTAAAATTTTAGAAAATAACATTTGCAAACAAATATAAAACAGCTTTCATGAAGAAAAATCCTTAGATTTTAAGATAATTTGTCATATGTTCAATTTTTACCTGTGGGTTTTCAAATGTAATAACTCATTTATAAATAAAGATGGGTTGGGCTGAAGAGTTGGCTCAGTGGTCAAACAGCACTGAGTGCTCTTACAGAGGACCTGGGTTCAATACCCAGCACCCACAGGGCAGCTAACAACCATCCGTGACTCCAGTTCCAGGGGATCCGACACCATCTTCTGACTTCTGCAGGCACTGCATGACACAGGTAGACTTTATACACATACAAAAATATTTTTATAAATATAGATGAACTGAGTAATGAAACTTGAAAATGCACATGTATACATTTAAAAAATACACTTGTTTAGCTACTTACTTTTCAGCCCCTTTTCTGCAAATTATTTTGTAGGCTTTCCTGCTAAGCACCCAAACTGGCTTCTAAAGTTTCACTCATATGGTACCTTGTTACAAGCAAAGTAGCACATCAATCTCATAAAATTTCATGTCTTGTACTAACATGCCACAGAACTTATTGAGGAAATAATAAAAGTACAACAGAAGGTAGAAAGGGTTTGAATATGTTATGTAGTTATATAACATTCATCTCTATAAAAAATACTTACATCTGCTTAGAAAGTTGTCAATATTTTTGTTTTTTCTTAAGGCAGGAAAATCCAAATCATAAACCAAAGCATCCAGTCCATCCTAAAGAGAAAAACAAAGAGTGTTTTGGAGCACATCAGAATATTTTCTAGTTTAAAGAGTAATAAAACAAAAACGAGTAATAAAACATACTTTTAATATTTAATTCTCTCTCTTCAATTCATCTTATGTCTATTTAACACACTTTACAAGGTTTCATGAGTAACAGGAAAGATAAAAATCGGTTCTTTTATTCCACATATAGATATTTTTTTTTGCTTCCTAAATCTATAGGCACAGGGGCAGGAAAAACATCAGACTAACCGCATGTGACTACAATTCACAATCTTCTCTGGGTAAAGATGTGAAACCTTACACTTAATTCCTCCTTACTACTACATTTATCTTCACTTTACAGCTATTCAGCAAAAACTTGTGACTATAAATATTTTACAGGCTAACAGATAATAGTTAATTGGGTGTTTGTAGGAGTCTCTTTTTCTCTTTGAAGCACTTTCTAGTACAATCAACATTAAAGGACCAACATGAGCTCTTGATTTTCAGTATACATTTAAATACATAGGCAGGTACAGGGCAATGTGAAGATGTAGCGAACAGTACTGACATAAGAACACATTTACTGAGAGTATACATCTTGTCATATGACATAAGCAGAAGGAATTCAGGTAATCCTAAACTCTTCATTACAAAGAACTGTTCTTTTGTAAATGTGATTTGCATTAACTTAGTAGTATTATGGAGAAGAATGATTTTTTAGCCATCCTAATAAAGTGATGTATTCCAGATAGGTCATACACAGTATTTTCAAACTAAAAAAGACCTTAAAAACCAGGTGTGGTGGCATCCATCTTTATTCCCTTACTCGGGAGGCAGAGACAAGCAGATCTCTGTGAGTTCAAGGCCAGCCTGGGGCTACACTGAAACCCTGTCTCAAAAAGATCCCCCCCCCCAAGACCTAAACAAAACAAAACAAAAAACCAAGCAACTGCATTTCAAAGAAAAAAAATACTGTATTTACAATTTACTTGTATTTACATGTTATTGTTGGGAAGGTAAGTCACAATCTTTCTGAGTTTGTGCTTTCTCTACTGTAAAATGAGGAAAATTAATCTATTTATTACTCATAACAAGATTTGTGAAAATAAAGTACGCAAAATGCTTAGCCCTGATTAGTCCCACTGCCCCCACCTCCTGCCCCCTTTTTTAAGAAAGGGTCTCCCTGTAGTTCAGCTGGCCTGGAACTCATTCACTATGAAGACCAGGCTGAGGCTGGCCTTGATCTCAGAGAGATCCCCTGCCTCTGCCTCCCAAGAGCTAAGAATAAAGGCATCCTGCACCACCACATCAGCTACTTCCCTATTTTATGCCTGCAGTTTGTCTCTCTATTGACAGGAATGACAAAAACAAAACAGACATTTTAGTCACCTGATCATAAAAATCTTAAGAGTAAATCTTAGTCCACAATGTTAAAGTCTTCCCTAAGGCAATAATCTCAGCTGCCTTATGTTTGATCATTGAGTTTAATAATGTATTAATTAACGAAAAACCGATGGCCTCCACAAATTGCGTAAGGTCACTCGATGTTTGGATCTACCATCATATGCTTTAGCTTGATAGTATTATGGAATGATTCATGCTTTTCAGTACCACCCGTGGGCAAACTCGTCTATTCTAGCATGAGCAAAGCATATGCCAACTAAGGCTAAGGGAGTTAAGACACTAGAGTGGAGGAGAGGTGCAATGGAAAAGCTGTACAATACAAGCAATGTGATTATTCAACCATTAATTAGGGTAAGGAATCCTTCCTTTTACTCAGTCCTCCAAAGTGCTTAAAAAATGAAGAATAAGAATTGAGACAGGGAGAGAGGAAGAGATTAAATAATGCTTAGCTGGTGTGAAAAAAGAGAGGGAAAGGGCTGGAGAGATGGCTCAGGGGTTAAGAGCATTGGATGCTCTTACAGAAGGCCTAGGTTTGGTTCTAGGCACCCACATGGTAGCTAAAACCCATCTGTAACTCCAGTTTCAGAGGACATGATACCTTCTTCTGGCCTCCATAGGCACTGCATGACATACATCATACAGGCAATACACTCAAACACATGCAAAAATAAATAATAAATAAATAAATAAAATATTAAAAGGCTGGAGAGATGGTTCAGCGATTGAGAGCACTGACTGCTCTTGCAGAGGACCCCTGTTAGCACCTACGAGGCAGCTAACAACAGTCTTTAAAGGAAAGGAAAGGAAAGGAAAGGAAAGGAAAGGGAAGGGAAAAGACCAGAGGCAAATGTATTGGTTCAAAAGCCTACTGAAAATTACACATACAATATTTCTACATGTGTCCATAGTTGAAGGCTATATAACAAGAAAAAGTGCCAAAAAGGAGAAACCTTTCATGTTGTTGACCAGGGTAGTCCAAGAGAATCCGAAAATTACACAGGCTATTGACACAGCCTTTTATTACCTCCCAGAACTTAAAGGTAAGACCCCATTCCTGAAGACAGGACATAGTTCAGCAATAGGACTTGGAACAATGGAGCTGGAACTGACTTGCAAGCTGCCTCCCTGAAGGTTAGCTCTCATAATTTTAGCATACACTATGCTAGCTTTTAAAGGAGAACTTCAATCGATGTTCCAACCCCAGCTTTAAGGTCTAAAAACCAAAATAATGACCAGCACAGCAAACTACATTGGGGCAATAGAGGCACTTTTATCTTGGGGGTAATCAAGAGCTACCTAATTGGACTTAAAAGTCCACTCAATGGGAGGGAACTCAGGTGTAGTACTGTAAACATAGCCAAATACACATGGCTGGAGAGGTTATAGATCTTAAGAGAAAACTCTATCGCTGTCACACCCCTAGACAAATGTAATTTCTTACTATATGCTAACTATGGATCCTTACATTTACAGGCAAGTATGCCAATAACTACTCATCAAAGAACCTTTTTTTGCAACAGTCTCTTTTGGAAGAGACTATTAGAGTTCCACAACTGGTCACACATGGAGAATAAGTATCTGTGAAATGCCCAACCCTACATGTCATATCTATAATGGAACCTCTATACCTAAGACTCAAGGAACATAGTGGAACAAGGGGTAGAGAGAATACTAATGCATCTCTCAACTCTCATCAATGAAGTTCTCTCATGCAACAGAGGGCAACAAACACAAAAGACCACAAATGGTGAACATGTAAAGAATAAGAGTCTGCAGAGTGTGGGCCCTTGGACAGGACTGTTGCAGTAAAAAATCCAGCAAAGAACTGGGGAAATGGGCAGCAGGCCCCAAGTTCAGCCAAAGAACTACTGACAGCTGACTGATTACTGCTGGGTGATAGAGAGCTGATCTTCTTTAAGGGAGTGACTCTAGATAGGCTGACTAGACCTCAGTGGATGAACTTGAACCGAGGGCCATCTGGGTACACTAACTTGACTCAAAAAGTCGTAATATAAACGACAGAATAAATAAAATCCAGTTTGGGGGGGGAGGCTACAGAGAAGGTGCAGATGGGGTAATGGGTAAAAGATGATTAAGATGTTTTGTATGAAATACACAAAAATTCAGTTTAAAAAAAACTGCATTTCCTAAAAGTCATATTTGAGCAAAAGGACTTAAGATCTTAACAAATTAACATTCTTCAAAGTTCAAAGCCATTCACAAGGCATGACAGTCAAAATATATAACCTTATTGACTGCTTCTTCATTAAATTTTATGATTTGGGGTGAAGCAAAGCTACCCTTTATTTTCACATGTTCTTCATTTAGCTTAATCAACTTAGGAATGTAGAAGAGAGGATATAAAATGCAGTTTATGCTAAAGAATTACAATAATTAAATTCTTTGCTACTAATAGTTATATTCTTTCTCACAATAGCAACAGGTCAGTTATAGCAGTTATAGTTAAAGGTAACAATACAGGAGAAACAAAATCACAAATACCTATATATGTAAAGGCAAACAAAATAATTCCAAGGGTAACATTTTACAAAAAAGCAAAGAACAAACAAAAACAAAAAACAACAGCCTAAAGTATGAACACTGATATAGGGTAGAGTAGCCTGTTACCTCACAACAGAACTAAAGCAGAAAGAGAAGCAGAAGAAAATTATTCAACTGAATACCTCTGTTAACTTTAGTTTTCTAAGTAGTTACGAGTTATAGAAGAGTCCTGTGTAAACACCACTTAAGACTAAATTCACTAGAAATAACATACTTATTACAAGGCATGAGAATGTTAAGGCAGTAGAAAAGAACATGACACTACATATTATAAGAAAAATTCATTTTATAATTTTCAAAATGTAACTGATTATTATTCTAAACCTAAGTACGGTTTTAGAGAAACTGCCTCCCCACTTTCTCTACTCCCATTCCCCAAATCCATTATGACTATGACAGTGAGACCAGGGCTTATAGAAACTAAATTACTTCTAAAATAGGCTGATCACTGGTAGTAAAAGAATGCCATCAAATTTTGATGACAGAAGAAGTAATACTTAAAGAAAATTTGAGGCTGAGGATCTAGTTCAGTTAGTAGACTGCTTGCCTAGCATGTAAGAAGTCATGGGTTTGAGTCCCAATACCACATAACCTGGGCATGGTGGCCCACACTCAGGAGGTAAAGGCAGAAAGATCAGAAATTTAAGGTCATCCTCCAGCAAGGCCAGTCTGTGATACATGAGACCCTGTCTCAAAAATAAAAACAGAAAAGAACAGGAAAAAAAAAGAGAGGCTGGCAAGATGGCTCATCCAGTAAAGGCGATTTCAGGGCAAGTTTTGCAACCTGCATCTATCTGATCCCCAGAACTCACATGAAGGTGGAAGAAGAGAACCAACTCCAAAAGTTGTCCTCTGACCTCCACACACATATGCCACAGCATGCACACCCACATGCACAATTAAAAATTTTAAAGAAATGTTTCATACATGTAGTAGAATGTTTTTACAAAAATCCCTTCACTAAGTAAAGAAATGAGATTCTCAAATCAACTGAAAATATAAGTTCTTTTTAAAAAATATTTTATTATTTTTATTTTATG